ACAGTCGTTCTTTTTAAGGACTTTAAGTTTGCAAGGCCATTTTGTTGGGTTCTTGAAAGGCTAAATCTTCATGAAAATGAAAACGCATGGACCGCCCTTAATTAAAACTTCTATTATTGACAATAATTAAATGTACAATACAATTTTAAAGAGATAATAAGATGACATTGCTACGTCATTGTTAAATTTTTTAGTTTCATTTGCAAACAAACAACGTATTTTCACTTGCATGCTAAGATAAACGCACTTTCGTGCTAGTAAAAAAAAGGCAAATTTCGCCTTTCAATCGTTTTAGATTTAGCAAACACCCTCGATCGTAAAATAAACATGATGTGCATTTATGTACCGAAGCTGTAATAATTGTTAAGGTTTTGAACAAATAGTAATCGTCCACTAAGGGCCTGTTTGTTTGCACGGAAGTAATTGTGAAGTAGCTGAAGTAAAAGAAATAGAGGCTACTTCTGCTACTTCCAAGCAAAAAAGCGTGTTTGGTTCTCTGAAAAACTTACTTCCAATACTTTCCTAAATGCTTATGTGGCGCCTACGTGTCATCCTTACTTCCAAAATATTTTTCCAATCCTCAATACTCAGAAGTAGCTCGGAAGTAGTTGAAATGCATATTAATTATGACATAAATAATTTTTTTATTAATATTTTCTTTATTAGTTACTTCTAACAACTTTTCATTGATAAAATTACTTCTTAATAATATTTCCAAATGTTATCCAAACAAAAAAAATAAATGAAGAGGAAGAAGTTCTACTTTCATTACTTCTAAAAATATATGAAACAAACAAAAAAAATGCTATTTCCACTACTTCCTACTTCATAGCTTTGAAAGTTACTTCTATAACCTACTTCTTACTTCTAATACTTCCATTATCCAAACGGGCCCTAAATAGTAGACCATTGAGCTTAATGGTGTGTTTGGGAGTTTACTTAGGGAAGGGAAGGAAGGGGAAGGAAGGGGAATTTTTCCCCTTCCTTCCCTTCCCCTCCATTACACCCCAATTTGGGGTGTAAGAATTTGGGCCAAATTTTCCCTCCATTCCCCTCCTCTACCCTCCAAAATGAAACTCCCAAACAATGTTAAAATGAAATTTCTCTTCCCTTCCCCCTCTCTACCCTCCATCCAAACAGGCCATAAGGGTAAAATCAGCACTAATCTAAAACTTGCTTAAACCAAATTTGGTCCTGGACCAAATAGGTGGAATAATTTTGGCCCTTGACCAAAAGTTTACCTAACAAAATCTATTTCAATCGATTATGTTAGCTCACTCATGGTTAATTGGATCAATGGTCACTATATTTATTTATATCATAATTGGACATTCATGCCTATGCTCAGAGGCGTGACTGATAATTTGGGGGCCCGGTTCTAAATTTCAATCGGGGCCTCTTAACCAATCTTCAGAAGAAACTAATAATTGTTTTTATATGTAGTACTAACCATGGACAAAATTTTTTATATCTAGAATTAAAATAAACATTAAGACATAACAATGGTTCTATGCAAAACATATTACGTGCAAAATATTGATAGTACAAAAAGATACACAAAATCAACATCTTACTAATAATCTTGACATGTCCGACAAGTTTACTGAGATTTTTAGCTGTCTTCCCATCACTCTTCGACGTTTCCCTTAATGACCTAATCGACCACACAATTGGAAACAAAATCTTTCAGCCACGACAAATTTAAAAAAACATAATAATTACAAAGGAAAATACATAAAAATTTCATCCATTAAGTTATTTACTTTCACCAAATTAGCATTGCTATTTTCTAAATTCTTCACAAATTAGGTTTTCCCCCTCAGCCAACCAATTTTACTTTTTTTTATATGCCCACAAAGACACATCCTAGTGAACTCAGCAAATCAACAATCAAAAAGTATTTAGTCATGTTTTCTGGTAATGGAACTTATCACAAAGTTTACAAAACAACTATCAAAAGAGGTAACTTTTTACTAAGGAAAATGAAAGACATGCAATAAATTATTTTACTTATGGTTCCTAAATAGGGGTGAGCAAACTAGGGCTGTAACTTGAAAACCGATAACCGAAAAAATAACCACACCAAAGCCGAACCATAACCGAAAAAACCGAGGAAAGAAAAAAACCGCACCAAACCGAAAAAAATAACCGAAAACCGAAAGGTTTGGTGTGGTTTTGGTTTCGAATGTCTGGAAACCGAAACCGAACCGAAAAACCGAAAAGTTATTTTATTCCCATTTTGGTCTGAATGGGATTTACATTTTACTGACCCGGCTCAGCTTACGGGAAACCAAAACCGAAGCAAACAAGGGAAATGGATCAATTGGAAACTAAAATCTTATGTGGCAACATAGTCAGGTCCCAGAAACCACATTTCTCATGTTTTTTTTCTTTTTCTTTTTTTTGCTTGCTAAATACTAACCAAACACACCCTTAGAACAATGGAAAATAGAGATGTCATTGGTACATGTGCAAGTTGTTGGAAACAATAGCATTCTACCAGAGAACCTCACGTATGAAGAGAACTACCCTCTGCTGTGTGGAAAAAAGTGTTATGATTCTTTAGCAAGACGCATGTACACTCCAATGTCTTCTGAAGATCTTGTTCTTCTAATTCTATGGGGGAAAAAAACCTGGATCCATAATTTTACAACTACAAACAAGTGGTCGGGTAATTGATCTTGTTCTTCTGATCTATCATCTTTCTGCTATTCTAGTTTTTCATCGCTTTTTTCGGAAACGGTTATGTAATATGAGACATTTCTACTTTTCTAGACTTGTTTTCTTTATAGAATAACCGAAAAAAACCCGATATAAACCAGAGAAAAACCGAACCAAACTAAACCGAACACAATTGGTTTTTGAAAAAAATAGTGAAAAACCAAACCGAACCAAACCGAAAAAATAGATCGGTTTGGTGTTCGGTGTCACCTATTAACTGCACCATTCAAACCGATTAACAGCCCTAGAGCAAACGGTCGGTTCGGTCGGTTTTTGTCAAAATTTGACCAACCGAACCGAACCACCTATCATTAAGAACCGAACCGAACTCCTCCATGTCGGTTCGGTGCGGTTTGTCGGTTTAGTTATAAATATAACATATGTAGTAGAAGTTCTACTACTTAACATTGTTGTTGACTAAGCTTTGTAGTATCACGAGCATGTTATTGAAACTGAAAAATTTTTAGCACACTAATATGCACAAGCATAACATATGTCAATTACCAGTCATTAAACTGACGAGGCGGCGAGTCAGAGGCCTTCAGTGCGGCATGTGGCTCCTTTCTTGCCTCTATTTGTTGATGGAATTCTGAAGACAAGTGAAGATGGTTATCTAAAGATCCAAAACCAAGGCAATTCATCAAACACATGGCAGACATAGAAGGTTACCTTGAGAGGTCAGAGTCACAGAGAGGTGAGAAGACCAAGGGGCTGGGGTCTTGTTGATGCGGAAGCGCTCCTGCCCCTTGGCGATGAGGAAGAAGCGATCGTCTGTGAGCTTCTCGTTCTTCACAATCTCGGCGACGCAACCGACGGTGGCGACGGAGGAGGATTCCGATGACGAGAAGAGGATGTCGAAGCGGAGCTCGGAGTGGAGGAGGGTGTGCATCCTGATCCAGTAGCGGAACTCGAAGATCTGAAGAGGGAGGATCACGCCAGGGAAAAGAACCAAAGGGAGGGGGCAGATCGGAAGCTCCGCCGCTTTTTTTGCGCGATTTGGGGGCGGCTGGGATGGCGAAGGGGCGGCTGCGCGATTTGGGGCCCCCCCAAGTTGGGGCCATGTTCTATGGAACCGGAAGTTCCGCCTCAGCGGCGTCTCTGCCTATGTTTTAATTACTTGGATGACTAGTCATGTAATTAAATATTAGTAACACTTTTCGTCATTTTGAGTTGTATATTTTCATTTATATTTAAGCAATACAACTTACTCAATATGTCACAAGTTAATATTGTCAAGAAAAAAATGCCAAATGCAATATCATTATTACTCAATATAAGTTGTCTGATATGTCACAAATTTCATTTCCATAAGCGATCAATGTATTATGTATATGAATAAATCCATTATGTCAAATAATCAAGACTTTTTAATATCACATTACTAAAAATTTATTATTAATTGGCGGAAAGTTAGAAGTGATTAATAATCTAATTAGTATTTTAATTACATGATCAACAATTAAAATAGGGTTATTTTGTATTAGCCCCCAAATCTTCAATATTTTGATATCCCTC